GTCTTAGTAAGATTCAAAGTTAGCTTATTTCCATGTAGCCACTGGGCAACTTGCAAGAGATCATCATTCAGTGCCTCTTCCAACAGGTGTGGCTCCTTAGCAAAGTAGTACAGGACCGTGTCATCAGCATACAAAGTCGCTGTTGAGTTCGAACCTTTAATAGGCCTTACTTCACGTAGAATCTAATTAAGACTAAATACAAAATGGTGGTCATGATAATAAATAGCCATAAAGTGAAACCACTGGTCATGCAATATGCGGGCAGGGCACAGGAAGCCCAGCCTTAACAACAGAACGGCAATATTACGACAGTCACCTTGCAATTATTTATAGCCAGAGGAAGGTCACTAATATAAACCAAGAAGAGAAGCGGTCCTAGAATACTCCCCTGTGGCACCCCAAACGTCATCGGGAGAGGGTCAGACATAGCATTACCACAGGAAGTCCGCTAAACATTTATGATGACTCAGGTAGGACTTGAACCACTGTAGCATGCTGGGCGAGACACTGATAGCCGATAATTTAGATAACAAGATCTTATGGTCAACGGTATCGAATGCCTTGGTCAAATCTAAGAACACTGCACCGCACAGTTCTCCACTCTCCATATGCAATAGGACCTCATCTCCAAAACTGGTGAGAGCTGATGTCATAGACAGTTTGGAACGGAAGCCAAATTGTTTTTTTGAAATGAGGTTATTTGAATTTAGAAAGTCATAGAATTGGACGACTTTTTCCAGTATCTTACTCATCGCTGGCAGAATAGAAATTGGGCGATAATTTGACGCATCTGTCCTATCTCCAGTTTTGAAAAGTGCAGCCACTTTCAAGCATTTCCATATTTCAGGAAAACTGCCAGTGCGAATAGAGAGATTCAGTAACTTGGTGATCGAGGGACAAATAACACGCGCGCCACACTTTAAGAGTCTCGCACTGATGTTGTCCAAGCCAATAGCTTTATTTGTCTTCAGAGAAGCAGATGCTTGAGTACTGTTTCCTCGTCAACTTCATAAAGCGAGAAATACTGTAATTTCGTGGCCGATCTGACTGGGAACATAACAGCAGCTGATATTTTATTTCCAAGACTTCTGCCAATGGAAGCGAAATAATAGTTGAGCATGGATGCAATAGAGGCTGGAGTGGTGTGTTCAACACCATCAGCTATGATACATTGTGGGCTTGAGGATTTAGTCTTGCAAGAAGACACCTCACTCGCCGCCTTCCAGATCTTCCCTGAATATTATGGTTTCTGGCTTTCTTGCGTGATGCATATCGTTTGTTGCAAACAAAAAGAGAGCTTCTTCTTTGTTACTCCTATGTAAGCGAGAGTCTGATTGGATGAGTATTCAATCAATTGAAGTCCCTGACAGAAAGCTTAATATTCTTCCCCCCCCCCAAGAAATTCTCAAAGTTCTAGGGTGCAAACAGGCAAGGCAATTATACTCTCCCAGTGATTCTCTCCACCCAGGAGGATTGGTGAACTGTCCACAGCTCTCTAGTTGATTTACTGGCAAAGAGTGAGATACAGCCGTCATCTCTTACCTGAGGAGGGGGGGGTGGGGGTATGAAGGCATGCTCCCCTGAAAATTTTTGAAAAATTAATTTATCAAGATATGTAGATTCCTTTATTTTGTGCGGGAATTTCCACTATTAGAAAGTGTTCTGAGCAAGTACAAAGGGAAAAAGGAGTAAATTATGTATAGAACGATGATTGCTTTTCATTGGCATTTAACTATAGCAGCAGTTTACTATCTGAAAATCAACAGTTTAAATCAGAAACCTTGATTGCATGCACAAGAAGGGCTTCAGCAGGAAAGCATGAGATTGAATGAACTCTGACTGTCAGTTAGGACTGATGAAATGTTGGTTGGGAAGGTGGAGTGGGGGGGGAGGGGGACTTAGGCTGGACCACTGTCCCATCCAGGGAGAGTAGTGATAATGCTAGTTGTTTCTTGCTAAAATAACTAGGATAAGCTCCAGCCAGATGAACCACTCAGTTCCATTGTTGACTTAGACCTTTTGCTCTGGAAAAAGGTCCCACTTAGTGCTCCTTTAACCCGGTACATCCTCATATGAACATGCATATTCTCTGCACTGCTCCTTATACATTTCCTATGGTATTAGCAAGGAGAATTTGTTTGAAAATCATGAGCTTCTTTAGTTTGTAATTGTTTTCCTTATTCTCGTGACCTTTAACAACTGGTTCATGCATCAGCATGCATTCATTGAGAATTCAAGAATTCAAGCATGTTGGAAGTTTGGAGGGCATGAAAGATGCATGAGAGTTGCTCAAAGCACAGCCAAGAGCAACTCTAGCTTCTTGAGTGTTCTCTAAACTTCCTAAGTGCTTAAATTCTTGATGAACACACAGCTGACACACCAACCAATTGTTTTATAACATTTTCAATGCTGTAGTTTATGTACAAAGGGCAGAAATTCCTTCTTCTGTGCTTCAATGCATTGTTTATTTTGTTTTGGAAAGTATTTTGTCATGCTTCAATGATCTCGCCTCATATTGGTCAAAAACTGATAGGTGAATACATGTGTGTAAATTGACATCATCAGTATGCACAATGGGAAATTGTAGCACACTCGCACAATTGAATTTGATTGCACAAATTCACAAGCTATGTTATAATAATTTGTATTTGTATTTACAGATTCATACAGTGTACAGGCGAGAGAACAATAGGACACGTAGTCCCCTATTAGGTTCATCTGCCTAAACTTACTCCAACCCACCTATCCCACCCAGGGGAGGACATTCATCACACAGTAATCTCGTGCGCGGGAAATTAACGTCTCCTACCCCTAACCCTGCAAGAGACGGGACCTCCATTTATTCGTCCCTATCCGAGAAGACTAGAATATCTAACCATTTCTTGATGTTATAGAAAGGCGGCATATTCTTCTCAATTATTTTAAGACCCTGAGTGTTGGTCCGGCTGGGGCTCGAACCCTCGAGCCCTCCCACACAACAGTCCAGCGCTCTATCCATTGAGCTAACTGGGAGTTAATGTTTGATTCAACAGTGGTATTATAATAAGAATTAGATATCAGCCACTCTAAGTAGTTAAAGGATTAAAGCACATAATTTTATCCTTAGTTAGCATGATTATGTTAAAAGTGGAGGTTTTTTTATTTTTTTTATTTTTCAGCTTCTCCTCACTAGAGAGGTAATTTCAGGGGCTGTGGTCTAGCAGCCCCTAGTGGCCACTGGTACCTAACTTTTGCTCTTGGGGAAACTTGGGAATTTTAGTTTTTTTCATATAAAAGCATGTGCTAGGGACCTTTTATTTCAAAGTTTCAGAGCAGTGGGCTCCCTTCAGTTTTTCTTCTAGCGCAGCCTTGAATTTGTCTTTTTCTTGTAGGTAACCAATCCCACTCTGTGCTCTGTTTTTTTTTTTTTTTTAGGATGGACCTGTCATTCAAGAGACAAAGAACAAAGAGTTTCCTTTACCAGCAACAGAAAAAAAGCTTTTAGATTCCGGTCTTGGTTTTCTAGGAGTAGCAGATCAAACACTAACCATGGATCAATCACAGGTGAAAAATCAAGACATCACTTTAAGAAATCTTCAAAACTGCACAGTAATAATCTATGGTGCACCATCTGCATTGCTTATGAACAAACTGATGGGATGTACAATCTTATGTGGACCTGTGTCTGGAGCGGTATTCATTGAAGATTGTGTGAAATGTGATTTTGTCTTTCCTTGTCATCAGCTGCGAGTTCATTGCACAACTGACAGCAAGTTTTATCTTCATGTCACCAGTAGGGCTATTGTCGAGGACTGTTCCAATGTAGGTTTTGCTCCTTTTAACTGGGAGTATGAAAATCTACAGAATGATTTTAAATTGGCTGGTCTTGATCCTTTAGAAAATAACTGGTCTCTTGTCAATGATTTTAACTGGCTGAAAGCTGATGTGCCTTCTCCCAATTGGTTCATAATAAGTGAGGGTGAGCGCATACATAAGTGGAGCATGTGAACATGTTTGAGAAGCTTTTCATAGCATGAGCCCCAAATGAAACTCACATATTCTTGTAAAAAAGAGATCTTTCATGGAAAGACTAGTTGGTCAAGTTTTTAGTTTACTTAACGATACAATATAGTCGTTATTGTAAAATCTAATGTTACCGGTAGTAGTTTTCGTCACATGAATTGAGATTTCTGTGAGTGAAACACCTGGTAATTAAAACTTTTATAAGCCACATGTGGGTATCTAGGTGTTGCTGTTTAGAGGTTTCTGTCTAGCTCTTATGTGAGGAGGGGAGCAAAGTGGGGGGAGGGGGGGTTCTGATCTGAATTTCTTGCAGGAATTTTACAAAAATATACATACATATATTATAAAAAACAGTACTTTGCACCTAACACTACTTACAATACAACTACTTACACTTACACTACTGCTGCACAGTACCATACATACATGCGTGCATGCATGCATACATACATACATACTTTATTGTCACCTCCCCAATGGGGCTTTTCAGGAACAATATATAAATTACTGACTATACATTCAAATAAAATTAATTAATCACAACATGTAATATAATATCATCTAAGAATATATATTAAAACATATGTACACGATTGGTTAAAAAAAAAGAAAGATATTCTAATCAGAAGTACTAATCAGATTTCAAAAATTCAGAAATAAGCAAAGATTTGAGTTTTCTTTTAAACATATGAATGTTCGCAGCAAGTTTCAGTTCTGTATCCAGACTGTTCCAGAGGCTAACAGTTCTATAGTGGAAAGACCAGTTGCTGTCTTGCAAAATGGGATCTGTAGTTTCTGTGAGTTCCTTGTCGAATGTGTTGAGATTTGTGATCTTTGAACAAAAAGTGAAGTCAGGGCCTCAGGCGCGCACCCAGTCATGCATTTGAAAGCCAGAATTGCATCACGGTAGTACAGTTGTCTTATTGGTATCCAGTGCAATTGTTTAAGAATTAGTGTAATATGGTCATATTTCTTTTTGTCGCATAAAATACGGCCAGCGAAATTTTGTACAGCTTGGATTCTATTTAAATTATTTTCAGTGGTGTTACACCATACGTTGGAGCAATAATAAAGTTTGCTGAAAACTAACGCATTTGTCAGGATTGCCCAAGTCCTTGGCACAATCGACAGGCAGGAGCTCTTTTCCCAAGAGTGTTAGACGGAAGTCTCCAACTTTGGCTGTCATTGCTCTACTTCCTAAGATGACAAAGTTCACAAATGTCCAGTTAGATATTTTACTTAGGTCATCATTAAGCTTGCAGATGGCATTTTCTTTATTGTCAAGGCTGAACGTCAAGAGTAGTTTAGTATCATCCACATAGCATTGAGTGCTACAAGATGTGGCAATACTTGGAAGGTCGTTAATATAAATATTGAAAAGAAGTGGTCCCA